GTTTATTTATAGTTTACGATCATCATAACGACAATTACAATATATAAACACTAATTTAAAGTTAATATTTTAATAAAAAACTTAAATGAGCTATTTATTAAGTAAATTTATTTGACAATTTAGTGTTAAGTTTGTTATAAATATAGGTATATTATATGATAATGCTTATTTCCCATGTTTTACTACTTTAATATTGTTATACTTACTAAATATTAAACTAATTATTTAAACTACCAAAAACCAACCCGTAATACGGGTTTTGGTTGGTCGGTTACATAATTAATTTATGGTGGCTATTTTTCACAATTTGATGTTGCAAAACCTTAACTAATACCTTTTTAAAAAAACGCCTTCAGCTTGAAAAAACTATTTCATCTGTTAAATTAACATAAAAAGTATGAGGAGGTAAAGTAGTTTACCAATTACTACTTCCCAGTGGGCACGGAAGTAAAAAAGACGTCTTTTAAACGTTTAAAATACGTCCAAAACGTTCAAAAGACGTTCAGAAAACGTCTAAAACGTGTATAAGACGTTTAAAAGACGTCCTTTTTTACTTCCGTGCCCATTGGGTTTACATTTACAGTTACTATTATCATTATTTGAGTAATTTAAAAATGGCATAGGTCATAACAGTGTAAGACAGAACCGTTTCTATCGACATTCCTAATTTCAACACAATACGTTTTTAGTTACTGACACAAAATCATAACAGTTCATCATGCTTTAAATTAACGAAAGTATCAACTAAATCCTTGTAATAATTTTTATAACATGAACCATTAAGAATAAAATGAAGTTAACTTATATTATACAGGTTTTATCAATTTTTTGGTATCCCCTTGATTAATTTTTCTTTAGAAAAGAAAATTCTTAACTTAAAAATTTTAAATGCACACAGCTAAATAAATTTATTAAAAATAACTAAATTTATTATAATAACTAAGCAAATGCGTACAAATACTTTTTAAAAAAAAAAAAAAATTAAATTACAATAAAACATGCGTATAACAAATTTGAAAAAATATGTAAACTTAATGCATTAATGCATCATATGACGAACCTAAAATTAAAGTTATAGCAGATAAGTAGACAAAAATATGTAAACCAAGCTGACCCGATCCGGGTCTTGTTAAGTCTGCTCAACACAGACCATTTCCATTTTTTTTTGTTTGGCCTCATTATTTCATTAATTTTTAGTAAACGGTAATTACCACCATTTACTAAAAATTTTCTTTGTTACTCAAAATTTAATTTTCCGAATTATTTTGTCACTAATAAAGAGGTTTCTCCACTCTTTATGCTTTAATGGTGGCTGGTGAGTAGAGTTTTTTTTATTAAGAGTAATCATGTTTTTGATGAAGACATTTTACCAAAATAATAAAATGTAAAACAGTGATTTACGTATATAAGAATATTTTCTTTTTTTCTTCAAAAGTGTTGCAAATACAGACTAAGCTAACTATTAGTTAAACACATAAGGGACCATCCATAAAGGACGCCACCATTTTTTAACCAATTTTTGACCCCCTCCTCCTTTTTTCGCCGGTTGTTCTTTTTCCCTATACTTCCCTGGAAAAGGACGTCATAAAATCCTAACCCCTTCCCCATTTTTAACTCCAAAAAAAGTTATTTCACTTGAAATGATGTTTGAATCTGTTGCTACACCTTTGAAAAATAAAATTCAAAATAATATCATACATTTTCTTCTCAAAAACACATGTTTACGTAGTTTTCCATGTTAATTAAACTAAATTAAAAATCTATAAAGTGACGTCCTTTTCTGACAACTTCTCCCTCGCCCCTAGTCTTTTTTAACATCCCTTATTTAGATGACGTCTTTTATGGATGGCTCCTTAATAAAACTTAAGTAACTCGATATTAAATCCGCAAAACTACAAAATTCCCCATGTTTTTAAATGTTATTAAAGTTACGACCCCCCATTTACAAAAATCCCCTAAAATACTTACAACAAATTATTAGGCATAAAATAGATCAAATGTAAAAAAAATCGCACTAATTGCATATATTTACTTCTTTTTAACTAACAAAAAATTAAAAATAAAAAAAAAACTTTTTTTGATTTGGTTTTTTGATTTTATTAATGCGTCATAAGGTAAATCTAAAATAAAAAAATATTGAAATTATGATATGATAATTATAAAGAAAAAAAAAACAAAAACCACCACACAATTACCAAAAATCGATTTATTTATTTATAGTAACCTATTTTGAAATTGCATTTAATATAAAGATTTATTGAAAATGTAACTATAAAATCTGTTTTGAAGTACAAAAACATTAACAATACTAAAAAAAAATCAGACTAAGGTATAAATTGTTGTCTTAGCTTTTAGTGAATGAATAAAAGCAGTAAGTTCCAATAATGAAACTATCTATTATTCATTTTTAACAATAGACACCACATGAAGGTAAGCTGTTTATCAACACAAAAAATCACAACAATAACACGACAACAATAACACATTACAATAAAATCCAATGAAAATAATAAAATAAATTAAAATATAAAAGGCAAAACTAAAAAACCAATTTAAAGTTAACTATATTTATCATTTTACTTAACTTTAATATAGTATATTTGTTTTTATATTCAATATTAGTTATTCAACTATTTCAAATTTAGGACTTAAAGAACCCTAGATTTGAAGATAAAGGTTGCATACTCTCTCATCTACATTACGCTAAACATTTACAGACATTATTATGTCTTTCTAAAATAATTAAAAAAAGGAGACAACACAACCTAGCTCTAAAGCAGTAACACCGTCTGGCACTAAATACTGCCAAATTACACCTCTGCCATTAGTACACCGCTTGGCTGGTCAGGTTATCAAACTCGCTTAACATAATACCAAGACACACCACTTTGAAAACATGGAAACAACATAATTAAAACATATATACAACTATAAACAGATATGACTTTTTGTAACACATATAAACACATTTTACAACTATTGAATGACAGATATACTTATCAAAAACTGTGAAAAAAAAAATAATGATAAATAAAGTTATAAATACAAAATGTGCTCACAACCTTTGACAGTAAGTTTTCGAAATGAAAATCTAAACACTATCAATTAAAAACATTAGAAAATGGAACAATATTTATGTAACATTTTTTACCTACTATACCTAGAATAAGATGTTTATCAATTTTGAAAAACAAACTATTGAATGCTCTAAATTTCTTGAACATGCTCTAAGTTCTTGAATATGCAACATATAGTTGATCATGAGAGTAACATGATTTTTCAGATATTTTTTTTGTCTATATGTTTAATTTCGCGTTGCTTAATATATAGACGATCTCTAAAGTAAAATACTTGAAGCTAAATAGATTTTATTTGTTACAACATTTGAACAACAAAGGAACAATTAAAGAATTATACCTTTAAATAGCAAGCAATTCGTAAATATATCTTATAAATGGTCATTATCAATTGCAGTAGTAAAACATGCAAGAGCTCAGTAATTACATGAGTTTAATTAATTTTCCCTGTACTAATTCTTATTTAAGTCTCATCTAAGAGAGAGAGGAAGTGTTTTAAAAGCAGTATGTTAGAAAAATTAAAAAAGTCAAGCAATAAATAACAGTAACTGGTTTTATTATACTACCATTAAACAAATTTTTTTTTACCTTAACTAAAAGTTAACTTCTAGCATTTCTTATTTAAGTTCCAGCTTCTCTCTAACTTTTGACATTTATTTATGTTTGATTTGAAAAATAATTTGTAAGCACATTAATGATTTAATTTTTACAAAAATCACTTTACAGAATCATCTGTTAAATCCTTACTAAAAATCTTTGATTGGCAGCCATTTTTAATACTTTTTTGCTAATGACGGAATATTTTGATAAGATCGTGAAAAAATGTTTTTAACCATCACCAAGTGCATCAAAAGTACTCGACTTTAAAATTGTTGTAAAAAGTAAAAAACTTAATAATTTGAACTGAATTTTTTTTAATAGTGTCATATACCATTTGTAGTATAAAAAAATAAAATAAAAAATGTTTCTACTTGGGCGGTATAAATGCAATACATAAAAAAATGCGTTTTTTCAAAAAATTCACGATAAATATAAGAACGTATGAAAATTTTTTTGCATTTATTTTTATTTTATACGAATTATAAACATTGAGAACATTAAAGCAAAAAAAAGGTTGTGTGTTAGTAGCTAAAAATTTATCATAATGCATAAATACAAGCAGCTGAATTTTATTATGAGGTAATACTATAACCGGAACTTAATAAAGATTGAGTTATAATAAGGCTTAATAAGGATGTCTTTTAAACGAACAGCGAATTTAAAATTACAAAAAGTTACATTTTTTTGCATTTTTTTATTGTAATTTTTGAAAGTTTTTTTTCACTTTAAGTAAGTGAAATCTAAATGACGAGAAGTTAAGATATTTTAAACATAATGACAAAAAAAGTATTTTGTTTTATGAATATTAAAAAAAAAGTTGAAATTAAAACTTCTGTATTTTTTAATGAAAATTTATTAGAAAATTGACGTCTTTTAAATCCGTCTAGCGGTCCTGGTAATGAACATAAATAACAAACCTATATATATTTAGATAATATAAGCAGTATACTTCAGTAAAAAAAAATAAAAAAAATAATTTTATTATGTTTTGAAAATTTTTGAATTTTGGCCAATTTTTTGAGGTTTTGCACCACTGTGGTATGATTTAAATTTTTTCAGTTCGTAAAAATAAGGAGTGAAAACAAAATAAATGGAAGCTCGCGAAACTTTGTTGACGCTTGTTATAGCATAAATTTTTATTTAAGAAAAACTTTATTGATTGGAGTTAAGCCAAAACTTTTTCTTCGTTAATTTTTAATCATTATTTAGCAAAGTAATTGACCTACTAAAATACTAAGAAATTATTAATTAATACAAAAGACAATAAAACATTTAGTTGCTCTGAAATTCTAATCCAACAGAAGTTTAAAAATTTCCGTAAAAAGTTTTACGCGTTAGCCTGCTGTGCGTTTTAGAAGTGATGAACAGAAATATAATTAATAGAAATTAAAAATGATATTTGATTGGAATTTTTTGGTATGAATTTTAAAATATATTTTCTATTGGCATTAGCTAGGGTGGCGCTAAATATTCTATTTATTTACTATTTGTTGTACTTTATTACAAATTATTATAAATTATATATATATATATATATATATATATATATATATATATATATATATATATATATATATATATATATATATATATATATATATATATATATATATATATATATATATATATATATATATATATATATATATATATATATATATATATATATATATGTATATATATATATATATATATATGTATATATATATATAAATTTTAATAAAAATCACCATATTTTTTATTCTTGACATTTTTCGTAGTCTTTTTTTACATTTTCAAAAGATTTAACTTACAATTAAAACTCTGGTAAATAAATTTAAAAACTAAAGACAATACAGAGAAAAAATTAATGGACAAATAAGCTTGTTACAAACCAATTGAAAATTATATTACAAATTATGAAAAAATGAACTTCCTAATACTAAAATATTAATATTAATAATAAAAATATAGTAAGTTAAATAGATAAATTTATAACATAATGAGATGTTTGTTTATTTAAAGAAGGATTTTCCCATTTAATATGAAGTGCTTCTTTTATTTTTAATTTGTTAATGATAGAGGCAGTATCCAAAATCTGAAAGCAATCATAATTAGTTAGTGTTTTACAATTAATAGATGAATTTAAATGTTTAAAAATATGCGATTGTTTGTAACTCGTAAGATGCTCATTTATCCTTGTTGTCAAATGTATGGAGGTTTCTACAATATAACTGGCGTTACAGCCAGCACAAGAAAATTTGTAGACAATGCTAGATTTAAGCATCTTAAGAAGTGGATCTTTTATGCAAAAACTGTTTTTTAATTTATCGGTTTTGAATATAAATTTGATTATTACATTTTTACAATACTTTTTTTCAATATTAAGTCAACCATCATTCTACACCGGATTTTTTACCATCTTAAGCAGTTGATTTTTTAAACATTAGTTAATTTTTTTTATCTTTTTCACAAGAACATCTCTGTTATAAACAAATGGGTTTTTATTATTCTGAAAACCCAATGTTAAAACCTCTTGTCTGATGCTAAGTTATTTATTATCAGTTTACTTAATCTTGTTTTTTGTCTCAAATGTTAGGTTCTAAAGTCTTTTGGTAAGTCTTCAACAGTGTTATCAACTTAAGTAAGGCTTACATTTATTCTCAAGTTCATAGGTCTGATCTTTTTACTTACCCAGCATAAATCAGAGTTTTTTTGCGAAGAAATTTTTCTCTACTTTAACTCTAATGGCCACACTCCTGTCAGTTAAAAAGATTAATGGCCACACTCCTGCCAGTTAAAAAGATTAACCCGTTGTTAAACATTAAAATTATTATAGTTTCTAATGCTAAAGTTAATCCTAAATTAAACACTATTGCATTTTGTTTTTCAGGCAAGATTTCCATCATAGTCTCAAAAAAAAAAGTTCTACAGAATTTTTTTCAATTTTTGCTATACTTTAAATAAAAATCTAAATAAATGGTTCTAATTTTTCAAAACTCCAAAAACACTTTGACCTCTGCAACTATCCTAAAGTTAGTCTTCAATCTGTTATTTGTTTCTTAATATTTTTGAGATTATTAAATTATTTATTTTTACCTTTAGTAGTAAAATTATTCTTGAAGGCCTACACTCCTCTTTATTTCAGGTAACTTTAAATGTATCACAAATTTAACTTTAAGATAAAAGTTCTATCTTTGCTCCTTTAATGTTTCTGATCTACAATATAAATCGTCATGAAAATTTTAGATTAAAAGTTCCTCTATTTTTATATATTTTAATAAATACTTGACTTACTGTTTATACACATGATATTTTAATTTTTAATCACAATAATATTATGTACAATACTTATTATATTACAAATAATACATGAATGACAAAAGCAATTTTAAAATTGTTTCATATTTCTGACTATTTTTGTAGATGAGTTACTTTGAACGTTATTCAAAACTACCCCGTATACGAAAACGTTATTCAAAGTTACCCTGTATACGAAAAAATGTATACAACAAAGTAGATTATGCAATAGCAATGGAACATAGCTATAGTAGGCAAACAAACTTCTTTAGATTTTACATGTTTAATAAATTTATAAACAAAAATTAGACAACTTAGACAAGCTGCAACACTATCTGAGGCAGTGTACAAAGTATTCTGACTAAATCATTAGAAAAAAATATCCAAACTATTTAATTTATTTTTTGCGAAACAACAACATCCAATAAATAAAGTAAAACTATAAATAATCAAAATATAAGTTTTTTTTAACATTGTGAAGTTTGCGATTTAAACAGTTTCATATAAATTCATGCCATATTTACAACTTGAAAAAAAGAATTAATTTTTATTCAAAGTTACCCATTATTCAAAGTAACCCGGTTTATGGTACGTCATAAAAGTTATGATGGGCTAAAAAATTATTAAAAGCCCAAAAAAATTTTGGGGCTCTAGGCCCAGATATTACTGCTTTCTAGAAAATGAGGCTCTGTTCTTATGATAGCATACTGAGGAGTTAGGTGTGTTGCAATATTGAAGAATGGATAAAACCTTTTTTTTCATAAAAATGACATAATTGTTTGTGAAGTAAAAAGGAATTTTTAATTCACTAAAAAGAATTGGTTCAATAAACACATTATTAATACGCAATATCGCTTCTGCGCATGCGCAAGTATCAACACTGCTGATGTGTAGCACAAAAGAGTCTTCAAGATACTGAATAATGAAGCTTTAAAGTTAAGTTAGCCATCATAGGCGCCTTTCCTCTAATAATAAAGTAATTATTATTAATAAAAAAGAAGAAAATTGAATATCGTCAGCCGAGAACCAAGAGGCCGTATGTCCACTTGTCGTTTTTTTTGTGTTTATTATTAAAATATGTTCTTCAAGATAAAATCTGTGTTTGGGCTGATTCTAGTCTCAAAAGTCATAAAAATTAGGTCTATATTAAAAGAACCAGAAGGCTGTATGTCCAAAAATTAAATAACTGTTATTATCAACTGGCCGTATATCCTTTGACTAATCATAAGACAAAACATGAGTTCTTTTCAGCTAAGAATTTGTTTTTGCCGCTAAAACTTCACTTATTAAATCAAAATGGCGTTTGATGAAACTACTGAAGAAGTCTTTCAAAGGTACGAATATAACTTTTGAGTACTCTAAGTTATGAAATTATAAATAGTTCAGACTGCTCCTTTCTTATGACTATTATATATTTAAAATATTATTATTATTATTGCTATTATTATTGTTATTATTGCTAATATTGCTATTATTGTTATTAGTATTATTATTATTGTTGCTAAATAAATATATATATACATTTATATATATATATATATATATATATATATATATATATATATATATATATATATATATATATATATATATATATATATATATATATATATATTTTTTTTTTTTTTTGAAGTTTTACATCTATGTTTCCACACTAGTGTGGTTTGGATGGTTCTACAAAGTGACATAAATGCCACTATGTAAGAGTTGAAGCAGTTTTTCACAACCGGATGCCCTTAAAACCTACTATTCAGATTAACTCCTCTGAACCTCTCTCTGGGATTCAATCACAAAATTCTGATAAAAATGATGATTTACTTGTTTATACCACTTCAAAGGAAAATCCCAGAGAAAGTGTCAGAAAACACAAAATAACTGGAAAGGATCTTACACGCAAACGAAAATGAGACTCTAGCTCCTGGAAAAAAGAAATTAGAAAGAAACTTAGACAAAATACAAAGGGGGAAATTTATTAAAGATTGTAAGAAAAATCACACAGTGTGTCGTTTCAAATGTAAAATAAAAATTAGTGTTACTGATCAAGAAACTTTGCACAAACAACACTGGATTTTGAATGATCAAGAAAAGCGTCTTTTCTACTCCCAAACCACAATCGTAGAAAACAAAAAAAGATGTTGTTTGGCTGAAAATCCAAAATTGAAAAAAAAAAGTTATTCATGTTACTTTATTGTTTCTGACAAACTCATACGTGTTTGCAAAGAGTTTTATCTATGTACTCTAGATATTGATGAAAAAAGAATTCGAAATCACCACTCAACAAAAAATAAAACAACAGGAACACCTCAACAGTATAAACGAGGTAAAGAACCTAATCGAACTGTCCCAAATAATATTAAAGATTCTGTACGTTAACATATTCAAAGCATTCCCAGAAATGACAGTCACTACTGTCGCAAAAGTACAAACAAAGAGTACATTCAAGAAAATCTGATATGAGCATTTTGTATGAGAAATATTGTAAAAAATGTGTTTTAGACAATGTTGTTCCTGCAAAAAAAAGTATGTATAGAACAATAATTAACACAGAGTTTAATATTGAAGTTCATACATTAAAAAAAGATATATGTGACAAATGTGAAAGTAGAAAAATGAATACTTCACCCAACTTAAATGAAACAGCATTACATGAAATCCACACAAAAAACAAAGTTGAGACTAATGAAGAACGTAATCATGATCGACTTGATAAAAGCAAATGTATTGTTTGCTTCGATATGGAAAAAGTGTTCAGCTTACCAACAGCAAATGTTTCTAACTTTTTTTACAAACGAAAGTTGACTGTTTTTCATTTGACTGCACAGTGCTCAATATTCAAAAAAATTTACGGTGCACTCTGGTCAGAGCTTACAAGTGGCCGTTCAGGAAATGATAAAGCTAGTGCTCTTCTTGTTATACTAGATCAAATAGTTGCGGATGAACCTCTTGTTACTGAAATTTGCTTATGGAGCGACTCTTGTGTACCACAGAACCGAAATAGTTTTATGACGATTGCTTTAAAAATTTTCTTACAAAATCATCCATAAATTAAAACAGTCATTCAGAAATTTTGTGAGCCAGGACATAGTGTGATACAGGAAATAGACAGTTTGCATAGTATTATTGAAAGAAATATGGAA